ACATGCAAATGTGAGCTGGTATGACAATAAAAAATCCTTGAATCCTTGAATCCTTGGAATGAATAAAACTTCCAGCCAGTGTGAGTCATAATTTATAATATTTTTATTTAAAAAAAGATACACATTGGCTCACCTAAAGTGTGCCTCAGGACTCTAAATTTTGCTTGGGTTTCCTTTGACTATCACAAATGTTAAAAACAATGCGATAAATTGCCGTTTAGGCTGAGTTTGCAGTAACACTGAGTGCACAAACAGCAGTTAGAAGACCATTACTCAGCAACCCTGCCAGCTGCTGCATCATGGTTTATGCTTGTGTGAATCTGTTGAGATGTGGTTGTCTAAAAAAATCAAGACCATTTAAAACTCCTATTGCAGCCAATTACACTCCTGAAGCTGTAGTTTAAATTTATTGATCTTATCTTTAGACATGTTTTATCCACAAACAGAACATCTGATTAGTTAAAGGTTTATATGCCCAACCCTCAGCAGCTGCAGCTAAATTTACTTTTTAATATTATTGACCCAGAATTACCTGTAGCTGCCTGATCCACCTGAACTCATGAAACAAGAAACAACAAGAAGAGATGCTGCTGTGATCCTTGCTCAGATCTGCAGGACCAAGAATCACTTTAGTTCAGCTCAGACATCTTCAAAGTGCACACTGACCAAAATTTGGATCACTCAGACCTCTGGTCACAGAGCTTCATGACACATTACGTTGCATCGACCCAACAGCATCTCATGGGATAGGGCTGGTTTCTCTTGGACTCATTTAAACGAAAATGCTCATTTCTGTGTGATCCCTCCGAAATAAAAAGTTTGAGTTTAAAGTGATATGTCACTTGGACTGTGTGTCACCTAATTTTTTTTAAATTTTGTTTTCAGATTAGAAGGCGTAGACCCACACCTGCTACTTTAGTGGCATCCAGTGATCAGTCATCACCAGGTAAAATATTCAACACTCACACACACTATTTCTGACATGTATTGATTTTCATTCCTTATCTGGCACTTCAAGGATAAATATTCTATTGCGAATTTCGGGTATAAGCAACATTAAAAGAGCAGCAAAAATAGCACAGAGTGTAAATATTTATCAAGGAAAAAACATGACCACAAAGTCATTCTTTTCTGAAATGTGTTGTGAGTTTTTTGTAACATTCTGGAGAAACTCCGACCCACTTTTTCTTTCTTATCTCCGTTACTTGAGGTTCTGTTTGCAGTTTTTACAGTTATTTTAAGTTCTTCCCAACAAATTTAATTTTCTTTGAACTCTGAGTTTTACTATTACAAGACGGTGATTCAAGTTGGTTCTATAAATGTTGTTTTAGACTTTCAGACAGTTTTGGGTTGATTGTTCAGTTGGACCGAACTTGGGCCAAGACAACTGTTGACAGTTGGTGTGAAGTGACTGCTGATCTATTGGGTTTGTTTTTGACCAACGTGACTCATCATGAACGTTTGATTTGAGCAGGTCGATACAAAGGACACTGCTGGTCCAGAAGTCTTGTGGTTTGTTTCAAAGTAATTTCATAAACCTGAATTCTACCACAGTTATGTTTTTCTTTTTAGAGAAAATGGTATTTTTATTCATGGAACTTAAAAAAAGTCTTTATTTTTCCCACTCTTTTTCTGATTATTAGTAACTGATTCTGGTACAGTGTGTATTATTGCTGTTTTTGTAATGGACTGAATATGAACTGACCTTGGCTCAAGAGAAGACATATTCACTGGAGGATTTTTATATATTTTTAACTCTTGAAAAACATGTTTCAAACCTTCCCAGCAACAAGATTTACTTTTTAAGATAATAAATGGCACCAACAAAGTGCCAACTCATTACCAGCATCTGGCTGCCAAATACATTTTTAATGCCTACAAAAGCAGTAAAAGTGGATTTAGATTTTTATATAATGCTTCTGGATTTAAACCTCCTTTTTTTAAATAGGAAAACGTGTGGTGTCATTAGATGTATTTACTTTCAAATTGTCCCTGATTTCACATATTGTCTGCAATTTTCAGGCTGTTATTTTACATTGAGTGCAAATATTGGGCCATTCAGGCAATTAAATATTTTGGATTTTTGGATCTTTTTATTTTTTGCACCATTTCTGAGTTACACTTACAAAAGGCTCTGCAGCTGAGGAGTAATTATGGTTTAGTTTAATTTACATTAACATTTTATTGCAGCCGTCATATCATTTTCTATTTTCTTGGTTGTCATGGTGACTCATAAAAAACAAACATTTAAAATTCTTGTCACTGCTTAATTATATAAGTACAAGAAATTCTTCATTCGAGTAAAAAAGTGCTTACTAATTAGGAGTAAACTGCATTTTGCCTTATTCCACTCACTCAGTAATGAATGTTTGTGACTTTCTTGCAGTTGCTTTCATGACCGCTAAATATTGTGCATTCTTCAGATGTAGTTAAAGGCTTTGCTCGCTGCATGCACAAACATCCCATAAAGACGTTTTTCAGAAAAGGACTCATTATATTACTCCAAAAGAAGCATGGTTTACATGCTACAATACCTTCATCTATTTCATTTTTCTGTTGTGATGCGTCATCTCAGCTTAGTTACACATCATATGAATCTTCCAGCTACTTTAGAACCACAAAAACAACCGTGCGTCCTCTGGGGTCTTAATGATCAAACACAGCAGCAGATCTCTGAGGAGTTCTCCTGCTGTATGAGTCATCCATCGGCTCCCTGCCTCGCCTCTGCTGTGCTTGGGTGTGTATTTGTGAGTAATGTGACCCACTGCGGAGTCAGGAGATAATCAGAAGGTAATCTGTGGCAAAGGGAATGGTTTTCAGCTGGTGAGGTTTGAATTAGGAACTGATCAGTAATTGAGAACTTATAAACATGGCCACAGCTTTTTGTTTTTATCAACCTATTTATACTTTTAATGATGTTTGTGAGTTTATGTCAAAACATCACCCCCCACCATATTAATGTGTTCTGTTTGATTTCTTGTTCCTTAGTGAGAAGTTGTATCTGCGTTAGTATTAAAAGTTCCCAGTACGATTGTTTATCAAACAGACGGAGAATTTCTTTCTGGTTCTACAAAATAAGATCAGTACCACAATCTACGGCAGGTAAAATACTGACTACTCACAATTATTCCATAGAAATTTACCTAAAATACTTGAACAATCTTTATAGAAGAAGGCACAGAATATTTTAAGGAATGAGAATGGAAAAAAATAAGAATAAGAGACCGGAAAAAGAAAGCAAAACTGTTCATTTTCCTTACAGTCTTGTCTCATGGAAGCATATTACAATGTCAGCCATGTTTTGTCAGCTATTTCACAATAAACAAAATCAGGCTTGACAGAGAAAACAAAAAGTAAATCCAGCCGTGCTGCATATGTTGCATTATCGCTAATAGTTTTAATTGTTTCATTCAATTATTTTGTTGTTTGTTTAAAATTTGCACTAATGATAATCTCATTAGCCTTTAAGCTCTCAGTTTGTCTTAATTGCTAATTAGCAGAATTAGAATTTTGCAGGTGATTAACAATGTCAACACTGCATTTATTTATGGTTGTATAAAGCTACCTTACGACATTTTGGACATTTAGGCCAAACTATTCTTCTCTTAGATTACTTTAGTGTTTTTAGAGCTCTGGTTTGTTTCAGTGTGTTAACATTTACTGTAAGCCTGATTAGCTCACATGCTTTCTGTTGCAGATGTTTATGTTCTGTGGTTTATGTTTAAGGATGAGGAAGCAGTAAATCTATTATAAACTTGGGAATAGTGGAATTGTTTAAAATTCTACCTTGCTGAAAAGAATGATGCTCTATATTTTAGTGAAAGTCATCTTACAAAGCTAGCTTCATAACTTGTCTTTAATATTTATATAAAATAGATTATTATTATGCTGAGGATGTGGTGCTGCTGCTTTCTTGTAGTCCTGAGGCTGCAGGTTTGAGTCCAGGCTGCATCAAGAAGAGTATCTGATAACAAATGCCAAATTCTTCACGAGTTCACTCTCTGTGTTGACCCATGCAGAAGAGAGTATCCGAATAAAGCAACACTGTGTTGTTTACGTTTGTTTCATTTTTTTCTGCATCTTTAAAGGTTTACAGAACTATAAAACGCTTTTTCTCCAGATGAAAAATGAAATTGTTTTTTCTGTTTTTATTTTTTTAATTGCTCCAGTTTTACTTAATTTCTAATAATTTATTTTTTTTACCACATTTATCCCAACACATTTAAAAAACGTTTTTTCCACCCTCAGAATAATAATAATAAAAACAAATGGTAAACTCTTTTTACATGTTTCGAGACATTATATTTGAGCTCAGGAGTGTTAATTAATGAGCCTGTACACAGTTTGTCACAGATACCAAAACAAAATTAAAACTGAGACGTTCATGAACTCCAGTGAGCGCAGAGCAGTAATAATTCCGATGCAGAAACACAATCCTAACCTTTGTGATTTGTGTGCTCGTGTGTGAGAGAAAGAGATGGTGCCAAAAGGGAGGGGGATGGGAGGTATGATGATGAGGGAGAAGAGCTGTGCTGGTGCAGTAATGGTGTGCCCCACATCAGGCAGAGCCCTGCATTATTAAATGTGCTGCAAATTGCTCTGCTCTGTGCTTTCTGAACCCCAAAAGCACTTCAGAGGAAAATCAGAGACAACTGAGATGCAGGCTGAGGGTAAAATAATGCTGAAGAATCATTAAAAGGTGGAGGTAGATCTCAGAGTTCTCTAAGGCAGAATAAGATTTGTGTCAGATTCTTGCTATGAGACAATGAGACGAGTTGGCAGAGACCAAACAAAAAAAGAAAGCAACTTCTTTTTTGTTACGACTTGGTTGTACTTTTTGTCTTATTATTTATTCATGAAATGCACGTCTTACTCTTTATGCAAAGAAGAAGTAAACGCATGAGTGTTAAAAAGAACACAGCCTGTAGTTTCTCCATTGGTCTGTCTAAGCACAGAACTCACAGGAAGCAGGACAGAAAATGGTGAAATTTGACTGAAACTAAAGATGCAACAAGATTAAAACAGAGACAAGGGTCCGGCAGGTGAATAAGACAGTCTGAAGGAACTGATGACTGAATGCAATCCAGGTGTGACTGAAAGAGCAAAAATAAAATCATCAGACAAAGATCAAGGAGCAAGACATGACATAAAATACCAAAAAAAAAAAAATCTCCAATGGCCTTAAAGCAAAACCTATTGAGCATAATATTTCATCTGTTCTTCTAATTTAGTATGTGAAACTTTTCACCCACTGTCATGAAAGGTGGGTGATAAACATATGCATGCTTGTCTGTTAGCAAAACTTCTCATGAACCAGATTTTATTACAGCCCAGAAAAAAAAATCATTATTGACTCAGATGAGGTGTCCCAGTCTATCCATTAGATGACACTTTCCGCTTTATATTTGTTTAGTTTATTTCCTGAACTTTTTTTTTTTGTTGTTCTTGTTTAAACTCCTCACTATTTTTATTGGACTTTTATTTTGTTTAGTCCTTTTGTTTTTCTTTTACAATCCTACATTCGGGTTTCTTTAATTCCATTTAACCTGACACCAAAATGAAATACGTGTATCTTAGTTTTTTGTTGTTTGTTTTACTGAAGTGTCACTACGGGTTGTGTTTTATCACCCTGGTAAATTAAGTCAAATGAGTCAGCTGCTTGTTGTGTTGCCATCTCACTTTCTAAACCCATTAGTATTATAACAAGAAATGGTGTTAAAGAATTATCACAACAAGAGCTTTTCTGTAAAATGAGACAGACTAAATGACAAAATGACAGAATATTAATTAAAAATGGGAAATAATGATATATTCACTTGCAAATGCAAGAAAAAAAAGAAGGGCTGGAGCAGAACAGTGATGATAAAAATTGAAAATTAAGTGAGTGACAGGAGATTTAATGAAGAAAGAAAAGGATGAATTTCTCATATATGCTGCAATAAAACATGAGGTAAAGGACACTATTATGCTCATATTCCCATAGTAACATAATTTGGTATTGTTTTCATTAATCCTGTTCAGATGGGATTGCATCTGCATTAGAAGTGCATTTTGTGGCTCTTTTGTTGGCTAACAAACAAAAAGGAGGGATAAAGGAGTTATTCTGAACCCAAAACAAGCAGTCACTTGAGATGAATAAATTGCCTTCTCTTTCATGGTTGTGGCAACATAAAAAAAGATAAAACAACCTCAAGACATCACTGGTTGTTTGCACCCTTGATCAGCTAAGTGAGTGCAAAGGTTTTTTTTTATTATCTTGCTGTTTTTTTATGCTGTTTGGCAGCATTCAACTGACACCAATTTACTGCTAAAACACAGCAGAAATGAAGAGTCTTGGCTGCGAGTCAGAAGACTCTCTCTGTTCTCATCTTGCTTTGTCTCAACCATTCAGTTGGGAGTTGCAGAGATAGACTCGTCGCTGCTGAAAATGCTTTTTTATTGGCCTTTTCTCCCATTCTGCAGCACAGATGGGCTGCACACAAAGACAAAACAAGCTGACAATCGGCAATGTGAATGCCAAGTTTTGTGTCTTAACCCAAATTGATTTTTCATCCACGTCTACAGCACAATGTTTGTTCAAACCTAAGCACAGCTGTTTAATGCTCCGAGGCTTCAGCTTCAGCTGCATCCATCAAACCATCAACTTAAAGATAGAAGCTGTTTTGAAGCTTCAGTGTGATTCAATCTGTGGTGCACAAACCTTTTAGACTGCCATTTCTGTTTGGAAGATTAAGATGTTTTATTTTATTTTAATTTATAAAAGTACCAAAAACATATATTTGCATATTTCTATCTGAATTCTCAAACTCAGCAGTGTCCAGACAAGACTCACTCTTTCAAACTAAAGTCATTTTGTGCAGTTGTTTCTAAAAACCTGAAACCAACAAAGTTGATTTGTTAGTTTATGTAAGGACAGGATATCTTTCTTTGAAAAAAACAAAAAAAACATTTTGTATTGCCAGCTGTCATATTACACTAAAAAGCTCTTTATTTTTATTCCACAAAATGTTGTGCTAACACCTTTAGCATATGAACTTCACAGTATTAATTACTTTTATTTTAAAAATCTATTTTGAAATAACAAACAATAAGAAATGTATTAACATGAAGGAATTAGAGATAGGCAGCACAGTGGATCAGCAAGCAGGACACGATGACTCAAATCCTGGCTGGGGGCCTTTCTGGGTGGAGTTTGTATGTTCTGTCTGTGCATGTGTGAGTTTTCTCCAAGTACACCGGTTTCCTCCCACAGACCAAATAGGCTGATTGGTAACGTTAAATTGTCCCTAGGTGTGAGTGAGCGAGTGAATGGTTGTTTGTCTCTGTGTCCCTGTGATGGACTTGAAGTGTCCCCCGCCTCTTACATAGTGACTGTTGGACATGGGCACCAGTGACCCCTGCAACCTGAAAAGGAAGAAGCGGGTAAAGATAATGGATGGATGGAATTCAGAGATTTTGGGTTTGTTTTTTAATTTGATAAAGTGTTGTTTGGTAACAACAAAGAAGCACGTTTTCACGTTCCTTCATGCTACAAACTTGATTATTACTTCTATAAAATCATAGCTTACACGTGGTGCTTAAACTTCAACCATCTTCTGGTTGTCATCAGCTCTGGCTCAGCCAGTCATGTGACAGATAGAGGACCTGGAGAAACACTTGCATTCATAAAACAACATTGACACCTGGTGGAGTAATTATTAATAAAAGAATCATGTATGCCAAGTTGTCAGAAATACATCACGACAACATTATGCTATGATAACACGAGTGTAGAACATAGTTTAGTCCATTCTAAAGCTGAATAAGTACACCTCTTTATTGAGACAAACACATTTTTTGAAATACTATTAAATTGATAATAGACTTCTTTTACTGGTCTTATTTACTGTGTAAAGATGCACGCTAACAAGTATTGATTTTTATTGTTGTACAATGGTTTTGCAATGGTTGGCTAAAACTGTTTTGTGTTTGGGGTGTGTGGATTTAAAACATAATTCCTTTTAGGAGGTAAAACCATGTGGCACTCAAGAAAATACAGTTTGAGATTGTCCTGATTCCTGGCATGTCGAAAGGCCAGCACAAATGAATATATATGCACAAGTGACGCGCCCCCCACCCCCCACCCCTCACACACACACACACACACACACACACAATCACACACACGCACACACACGCACGCACGCACGAACACACACACACACACACACACACACACACACACACACACACACACACACTGCATTCAGTATCTAGGGAGGCATAGGTTGCATAGCAACTAGCTGCTGTCCTAGAAAAAAGTTTTGAGTTTGTAGTCTGTAGATTTGGATGGGAGAAAAAACATCTGGAACTGATTTGGCTTCATTGTACTTTTAAAATGTATTTAGTTTTATGATTTTATTACTTTTTTCTATATTTTTTTATGTGATAAAAGCATACTCATATTTCCCCCATTCTTGAGGTACCAAGTGAGACTCCTACTAACTATAAAAGTCCAAACTGTGTTCAGAGATTTCACATTTGATAGTTTCTGCATTGTACTGTGGATCTGCTCCTCTTCTTGTATAAGAATGTTGTGCAATGGAAGTTGAGCAGCAACATCACCCACACTGGTGGGCGGAGAGGTAAAAATGAAGCACATGTGAGTGTCAGATATCCATTTGGCTCGAGGTCATCTTCTACATACTTCTTTCTGAACTGTTTGCGGTTCTACAGAGACACTGACTGGAAAATGTTATTTTGATATGAACGCTGTGCGACTTGTATGCCTCAGGTTTGTTTGAGTCTATCAAATTTGTGTCCAGCACTAAACTGATTAGTGTATTTCCTTTTGCAGAAATAGATGAAGATCGACTCCCGAACCAGTTGTACAAGGTAATATGTTTAGTGAAAGCCAGATTTGTTGAAATAGGATTTTGAAAATAAAATCATGAGTTTTTTTTTCTTATTGAGCTCTGCTACTTTTGAAACACTGTGTTTTATCTTCGTGTTTTCCTCTAAGCTGTGTTGATATCTTCCAGGCAGCCTTGTTGAATTCTCCTCGCCAGCGACGAAAAGGACAAAAAGGAACTCCTACAATGAAAGGTGGAGTTTATTATAAAGTCTTGTCAACATCGATCCAGTGCATGTGATGTTGAAATGGGAGTTTGGCATTTAGAATAACACGAGCAAAAATGTGTACAGGGGAAGGTTGTCAGTCATCCGGGGTGTAGTAACCTTAGTACACTATGTCCAAGAGAACTGGACTTCTTGTTGATCGCTGAAGATGTTTTGTTTCTCATTTGAGGATCTTGCTCTATTTTCAGCTTGAAATCAAGAAAGTTCAAAGGCTGAGGACTAAAACAATTTCAAATATCCAAATGAAGAAAATTTGCTTTTGACTGAACTTACCAGGATCATCAAGACTCCAATTATTTTGTTTTTGTGTAGTTTTATGTTCATTTTCTTTATTTACCAATTCCAGGGAGAATCGTTTTCAATCTCTTATGCACATTAAAATATAGATTATTATTTTAAGTACATTTTTCTTGTAAAAAAATATCCTAATTGATGTATAATAGTATTATTATAAGTGTGGGTGTACAAAAAACATGTTTATTTAAGAATAAGTGCCTCAAATTGATGAGGACAGAATTACTTTTGTATGTGGTATTGTTGGTAATAAGTTCCTTCCTGTCTAGTTACAAATAAAGTTTATGTTCTAACTTAAAGCAGAACAAATCATTTTCTCTTAGGACAAGAACTCCCCCTTAAATATTCTGTTTTTTACATAAAAGATAGATAGATGGATAGATGGATGGATGGATGGATGGATGGATGGATGGATGGATGGATGGAT